TGATCTGGAGGGGGGGTGGGGGGGGAGGGGCTTTTTAATCACAGAATTTATAAAAGTGTCATTTAGTCTCCAAGCTCTTTTAATATGGATAAAATAAATACCTAAAGAGGACTAATTTAGCCCCAATTAAAATAGTGTGGAGACTATTTTAGCACTTTTATAAACTCAGAGACTAGAATAACTCCATCCAAATTGTCATGGACTATCTTGACACTACTCAACATGGTTATATGTGTTGCACAGGTTGGACAATTAGATAAAGTTTAACAAATAGGAAAACAGATGCTTGCTTACCATATGTGCAGATGCATCATATCCTGTCAATGTGTACTGGCTCATCAAAAGTCCCAGGACAAATATATACAGCTTGCTATGAATTCCGGCATCATTTTCAGTGTTAAAATGGGTGAAAACAAATTTGGCACTGGCTTTCTCGGAAGCAACACAAGGGATGAGAATCATCAGGATAAAAACACCTTAAAAAAAAAAGGATTCAACTTTAAGTTTAAATTAAAATTTCAGAAAAAGGATATTTCTGTTTAAGCAGCTGAAAAGGAAATTTAAAGACGATACTTTACCTAGAACATTCCATACAGCAGCAAGCTGTCCAAAAAATGATAGCCATCTAATTGAAAGACTGTTTATGATGGCATGAATAAGAAGAATCCCACCATGAAAGGCAATAACAACATATTTGGAGGCTAAGTAACCTCCACCATTATTTCCCACAGTACTGAGAAGGATGATGACTTGGATAAGTTGTGCTAATGAGAAATCTACACTTGTAGTTACTGCCCACTGCCAAGAGAATGTTTTCAATGACTCAGAAGAATAACAAAAGAATGATGTAGCTTAAAAAAAAGCCATCATCCTCCTGTGAAACTGGAGGTTTTGATCTCCAATTCAAGGAACATATATTACCTGTCCAACGATGTTAAACCTGCAAAATTTTGATTTAAATTATCAAAAACTTATGAAGTAATCTAAGATCAATACAATGACATTTCCATGTACTTTTTTATTTCATATTCCATATGCCATCTAATATCTGGGCACAGATTCTATATTCAAACTTTTGGGCACCAAGTATCTCTGTATTTTCATTAATTTGCCCCAAAGGGAAAATCTAAAAATTAAATTTTTACTAGTGCACCGCTGTAATGGTAAACATCTAATTCTTAGCAAGATGTGCATAGATGACATATATTTTGTATCAGCAGCTAGTTAAAATAATTATATAACAATTAAGGAATCATTTAAAACTTGAATAAGAAGAATGTTTCAGATGGTATGTCATCAGCCTTCCCAATCTACTCATTTATGCTCATCATGCTTTTGAAGAAATGGCATCCCTTAGCAGTTGTTTTTATATTTTATTATTTTAAAATTTTATTTTGTTTATGTTTTGATTTGAAACAAAATATGTTTGGTTGTTTGATTAAAGTATGGTCATTTTTAAAAGCATTCAAAACACCTAAAATTATTTTGAATGTTTTCAAAAACATCTTAATGCGTTCTTAGAAACAAAACAATAAAAACATGTACAAAAATACACTAAACAAATAAGTTTTTTAAAATAAAAGAAAAAACAAAACAAAAACAAAATACAAAATTGATCCCAAAAAAACTCTTAATAATTGAAGACAACTTTACCAATCAAACCCTCGCTATACATGAATATGGCTAAGGAATTCACATGCAATGAGTTTTCATTAATTAAATTAGCTGGTTGAATAATTTAAGAAGTCCTACAGCCTGAATAATGAAAAGTACTGTGCATAAAGGTTCACAAAACTCGAAATTCTGCTTTCATTTACCATAGACATTAAACACTAAAGGAGGAAAGGAAAAAGTGCACAATGTCCTTTACATTGAACAGCCTCTAGAGTCTAGACCCCTTTTTCATGTTTTCCCAGAAAGGATATAAAGGACACTTTTACTTTTTATTAACTTCAACATCTTTCTTATCCCAATTTCTTGGGACTCTTAGTTTTGAGACTTTGCATGAAAAAACTACTTAAAACCCGAAATGCAACAATAAAGCCAATTTAAAAATTTCATGCAGCATTGTTATTTAGTTTTAGAAGAAAATACCTTCATTTCCATTTTTTATTTTCTAACAAGTGAATCAGACTATCCAAAAAGGAACTTGTAAGTCCTTCGAATATAATTTGAAACCAGGAGACCATACAGTGCTAAAGTTAGACATTATAAGAAAAAGAAAACAAAAAATCAATCGAGAGAATTTCAAACTGCAGTGACCGACTGATATGGCAGCTTAAAAAATCCAAAATTTTCCTGTTCAATGAAGATTAATGAAAGGACAAAGAGAGAATTGCTTGAATGCCATGCCAAAGGATAGAAAAACAGACAGCTTTCTCGAATGCATTATCATTACTTCAAATAATCCTTTAACATGATAGCCATAACAAATTTTATTCAAAGCATACAATTTAATGAGTTAATTGCAATCTTCAACCTTTAATCCTAAATTTCAGTCAAAATTATAAGAAGAAGATATGCTAATATCCGTATTTAAAAGATTAGTAATAAATTAAATTATCAGACAACTGTTAATCCAACCCCTAGGTCGCAACGCAAATACTGCAACGTAGTATCAACACACACAAAGATAACAAATGACAGAGCTCTCTTCCATCTACATACTTAGCACCCATCCCTTCAATAATCAGGAGACAAAAACCTTATAATTGATCAAGAAAACATCAATCATTTTAGTCAAACTATTAAAATAAAGACCCTAACAAAACAAATCATTTTTTTTCCTCCCTCTGCCAACCATCAAAATGCATATTTCGAAATCAGAAGCCCAAACAATGATCTGAAAAAACCAAAAGAAAACGATTGATGCAAACTTACCATCCAGTCATCCATGAAGCAAAGGGTGCCCATTCCACCCCCGACAGCCTTGCACTCCAGTAATAGAGCCCGCCCGAGGTCGGATAAGAAGAACAAATCTCCGCCATAGATAGCCCCACCATCATTGTAAACCCCCCAGCAACGAACCACCCATAGGTCATCGCAAGAGGACCACCATATCTAAGCCCCGTATTGTATAGCGTTGTGATGCCGGTGAGCACCGATATGATCGAGAATGAGAACGCAAAATTGGACAAAACCCTGAAATCACCCAATCAAAGATCCACCAATCCGGTACAAAAAAAGGGTTACTGCAACGAAATAGGGTAAAGGGAAAGAAATATTTACGAGAGATCACGCTTAAGCTCTTGCTTGTAGCCGAGCTCATGAAGCCGGGCATGGCCGGAATCCAACGAACCGCTGCCATGAGCAGCTTGAGTGCTACTTTCCTCTTTCCAAGCCATGTCGACTTCTGCGAGATCCGAAGAAAAGAAGACAGAATGGGACAAGGGTTTTGAGCGAAGAAGAGATGATCTTCTTCTGCCAGAAGGGCGAGATATCAGATACGGGTCATCCCTGCAATTCGAGTAAGAAGAAAGATCTTCCTTCGAAAGCGGAAAGCCAGGACCAGTGACGCCTATTATGGTTGACCAGAAAATTAATTACCACAAATAGGAGTAAACCGTTAGAAGATACGGCGGGTCCGCGCTGTTTACACTTCGCAGATAATCTATAAGTAGTGCAAATTTTAAAAATAGATTTTTTTTATAGATTAACAAAATAAAAAAACAAATTACAAATTTGACCCAATAAACTACTTCACCAGATGTGCCTTAGGAACTCATCAAATTTATATTTTTTTAATTTGTCCTTTTTTAATATTAAATTTGTCAAAAACATTTTTTTTTTATTTAATCATATTATATTAAATATATTATTATGAAAAAATACTAGGCACATGCATTGAGTAATATTTAAGAAAATATTTATCTAGGTATTTGCATGCCCAACACATTTGGCTAAAATTAGGGCTATCAAAACGGCTCGTTGTTTGCAAATAGATCGTGTTCGGCTCGTTAAGAAGCTCATGTTGGGCACATTCGCTCAGTTAATGAGTCGAACACGAGCAATATGAACAAATATTTGTTCGTTCGTGTTCGGCTCGTTTTGGCTCGAAATACTACTAATCAATTATATATATATATATATATATA